AACCGATTCTAGAACTCGTGTTGGCTTCCGACAATGGCCAAGTGGACGTCGAATTTCGAAATCATTGGAAACGGGACTTGGTATAGGTATAGATCAACCAAGACCAATGATAACCAGACTTTGGATCTTTATGAGAAATAAGTATTTTCGAATACGATCGGAAGAGGCAGGAATTAAATAAAAAATAAATCGTTCCTTTTAACCCTTAGCGCTCCGGCACATTTTTGGAGCGGAGCGCCTGAGATAAAGGAAGTCTTATTTCGAGCGGAAAAGATTACACGTCCTTGCGAATGCATTTGATATTTGATTTATTTTATAAATATACATTTTCCTATTGTAAATAAAAGATAAACTTTAAATTTTGTAATTCACCACGGTGCGATATCTTTGGTAACAATCTCCCATGTGCGTTCTGGGTTTACTTGGACAAGTGTCGCAGTATTCGCTTTGCCAAATAGAGTTACCAGATATTTCTTTCAAGTTTAGAACATTTTCTGCCTAGTGAAGAGAATAAACTTTGAAGTAACCCTTTATCAGACATAGCTTAAGGAACGTGTTACATAGATGCACGGGCGTAGTAAACCTTAGTATAGAATTAAAATTTGTATCGCGTCATCGAAAATATTGATTTTCTTTCTTTATAATTTTGTACGTTTCCATTTATATTTCATCGGATCTTTTCGTTCGTTCAGCATTTTCTGTAGCTTCGCCATAAGCTTTGCAGAAAATATCGCGAATTCAGTGTCGAGAAAGTGAAACAATATTTGCGGTATTTTAAGAAATTACATTTAAACCCTTGACATACCATTTTCCTCGCAGTCACTGCGATTAGAAATTTTTCGATTGCAATCATTTCTTAGAAGGGGAAGAAACATTGATGCTTATAGTGCGTCCAAATTTACTCGGATGCTTAAATATTGATCACAAGGGATTAGAATTCTATTCCACTTTTAAAGGACAGAATAATAATTTATGCTCAATCAGTTATTACTAGAAATTTTTACGAGTCGGACTCGTCAAAGTAGGGGTTAAGAACTTCCGTCTTTTACATGTTTAATTTTAACAAATGGTTTACTAATTAAATTTGAATAAAGAAATTCGACGTATCTTATACGATAAATATAAAGTGAATTACGCTTGAAGATAAAGTGAAGTCACAGCGATTGGCTACCCCACAGCAACTGGGTCCTATTAGGAGTCAAACTCGTCAAAGTACAACGAATGATTAACCCTTAGCGATTCGCGCGGGAAAGATTACACGTCCTTGTGAATGCATTTGATTTGATTTATTATACAACTATACATTTTCCTATTGTAAATAAAAGATAAACTTTAAATTTTGTAATTCACCATGGTGCGATATCTTTGGTAACAATCTCCCATGTGCGTTCTGGGTTTACTTGGACAAGTGTCACAGTATTCGCTTTGCCAAATAGAGTTACCAGATATTTCTTTCAAGTTTAGAACATTTTCTGCGTAGTGAAGAGAATAAACTTTGAAGTAACCCTTTATCAGACATAGCTTAAGAAACGTGTTACATAGATGCACGGGCGTAGTAAACCTTAGTATAGAATTAAAATTTGTATCGCGTCATCGAAAATATTGATTTTCTTTCTTTATAATTTTGTACGTTTCCATTTATATTTCATCGGATCTTTTCGTTCGTTCAGCATTTTCTGTAGCTTCGCCATAAGCTTTGCAGAAAATATCGCGAATTCAGTGTCGAGAAAGTGAAACAATATTTGCGGTATTTTAAGAAATTACATTTAAACCCTTGACATACCATTTTCCTCGCAATCACTGCGATTAGAAATTTTTCGATTGCAATCATTTCTTAGAAGGGGAAGAAACATTGATGCTTATAGTGCGTCCAAATTTACTCGGATGCTTAAATATTGATCACAAGGGATTAGAATTCTATTCCACTTTTAAAGGACAGAATAATAATTTATGCTCAATCAGTTATTACTAGAAATTTTTACGAGTCGGACTCGTCAAAGTAGGGGTTAAGAACTTCCGTCTTTTACATGTTTAATTTTAACAAATGGTTTACTAATTAAATTTGAATAAAGAAATTCGACGTATCTTATACGATAAATATAAAGTGAATTACGCTTGAAGATAAAGTGAAGTCACAGCGATTGGCTACCCCACAGCAACTGGGTCCTATTAGGAGTCAAACTCGTCAAAGTACAACGAATGATTAACCCTTAGCGATTCGCGCGGGAAAGATTACACGTCCTTGTGAATGCATTTGATTTGATTTATTATACAACTATACATTTTCCTATTGTAAATAAAAGATAAACTTTAAATTTTGTAATTCACAATGGTGCGATATCTTTGGTAACAATCTCCCATGTGCGTTCTGGGTTTACTCTGTCTCTTATACACATCTAGATGTGTATAAGAGACAGGTGTCACAGTATTCGCTTTGCCAAATAGAGTTACCAGATATTTCTTTCAAGTTTAGAACATTTTCTGCGTAATCGTTGGTTTCCTTTATAATTTCATTTACCGATTCGTCCGTGAAAAATAATTTACAATATTGCATCGGCTATTCAATGTTTGTAGGAACTTGTGGTCCAACGACCTGTGGCAATACGCTAAAAGATATTCTATCAGGAATATGTAATTCTTCCGTAACATCGCGCCATTCGTCTAAGTCTTGCAACGAATCTTCGCTTTCGCTTTCAATAATTCTCATTCTTCGTCTCTTTGGTAGTATAATTTCGCTACTACTACTCGAAGTGTCAGAATCGTAACCAACATTGTCTTCCACAATGTCTTTTAACTCTTCAAAATCAAATACGTCTTCGGTATCGCTCGGCTCTAAATTCTCATCGTAATATTTATTTTTTTCCATGTTGCTAACCATAGAAAAGGTCAAAAAATGGTTTAATCGTAATGGTACAGACTTAGCACGTTTTAACTACACATAACAATTGCTAACGCCGACGATAACGTATGCTAAAAATATTTGGCTCCGCAGCGGAGCTTTCGGAGCGCTAAGGGTTAATATTTCCGGAATGTTGAAAATAGTTTAACAACATCGTAACTTTGTTCTTGTATTTTCATAATTTTATATATCAGCTATGCTTATTTTTTCCTATAAATACATAAAATCCAAAATAATAAAGTCCAAAAAGTTCAAAAAAATCCAAAATAAATAATAAAGTCTAATGTCGCTAATGCTTGCGAGTTGTTCGTGTAGATCTAAAAACGAGGGTGCTTTTTGCTCGTCATAGTTTACGGAATAATTGAATTTTCATCGCGTACACCTTGCTTCTGTGCAAGCGAAACCAGACGGTGTCCTCCAAATTGGTTACATAAGTGGGGAATGTCGGGACAGCCTAGTCCTCCCTCGGGCCCGAAGAAGAACGATCAGTGTCGAAGCAAAATAGGGGTGGCCCCTGTTTCCTCCGAATGCGACCTGAGAATTCTTCCGAAGCGATTCCTCGGCTTTTGGCGGGCGCGCGCACGCGCACGCGCGCGACAGCTGACTTCACGTGACAGAAAGTTTTTCTGCACAGAACTTCGAAAACTTTCGAAAAATCTCGCGAAGTAAGAAGAAAAATCTCTCGAACCGCGGAGTAAAATTAACTCGTAATTTATTCCTGATAAAACACCGATCGTTGCATTGTTTATACAGCCGTAATTAGTGCGAAATCAATCGCGAACAAAGCTCTCATCTAATAGATATATAATATAGTATAACGATAATATAATATAATATAATATAAAATAATATAATATAATATAATATATTATAATATATAATAATATAGTAAAATTAAATTTTGATGAAACAAGAATTGTTGACACTTTACACAGTCGTAATTAACGCCACTTTCAAGGAGTCTATTGGATCGTCAATGAAACAGGAGCACCGACAAATCGTACTTTTACATCCGTTCCACTTTATTCCTGTATTAGCTGTTAGTCGCATAAAAAATCTCGACAGAATATCGTCTTTCGGCAGTCATGGCCGCGAGCTGGATGACGATGGGTGGCCGGGAGTGCCGTGTAGGTACCAACACAGTCGCGCGGGCCCCGTAGACGCAGTTTCACAGTTTCGTCGCACCCTCTCGGGCACCGTCGCTAACGCAGTAAATGGATAATGTGCTGCGTCGTCCATGAAACAAACGCCGCATCAATTCGCATTAAGCACGAAAACGACTCACGGCGAGCTATCAAGCTGAAATTACCGAGTCCCCGATGCTCCTTGCGTGCCCGCGAGACGTTCGTGTGCTTGCTCTTTCGAGAGATCGATATTTAGAAACACGATTCCGAGGCACGGCTCGCGATCAAGAACTGCCTCGCCTCGAGTCCCCCGATTAATTCAACCGGCGTTGATTCCGCTCTATCGCAATCTGAAAAGGATCCCGTAACAACAAAAAGCCCCGAGCACACATTATATTTCGCTGCATTAAACATACATGACCCCCGAGAGATCCATTCGTAGGCCGCGCTATCAAAAGACGCTTTCGAACAAAAAGTATATGCGTAGCTCGGAGAGGAGCGTTCAGTTTCCTTAATAGACCCGTGGGCTAGTCTTTCCCGAGATCGTGCCGGCGCTTAACATGTTAATTCGAAAACGAGGAAGGGTGAACGAAAGAGCTTTCGTCGCAGCGGATCGGCCGTCCGGCTGCTTTTTTCCACGAGTTGAATGAGCGAGCACTGTCGACGACGGCCGCGTCTGCGTGTGTACATATTATACCGTGCGCGCAGGGTACACGGACGCGGCCGAGATAGAGGGAAAGAGCGAGCGAGAGAGAGAGAGAGGGAGGGAGGAAGGGAGAGCGCGAGCGAAAGAGAGAGAGAGAGACGCGGCCGCCTGTAGGGACGGGGGCCAGAGTTTCATCGCGCCCTCGGTACCATCTCGTCGTCCCAATGGCTCCCCTCCTGTCCTTCCACTCCCTTGACGGTCCCGCAGTACCTTTCCCCCACCACGCGCCGCCAGCAGCCCGGCACGTTAGGCCGGCCGGCGAGCCAGCCGGGTACCCCCAGTTCAAATCTAAACGCCGATCCGTCAGGACCAGCCTCGCGTGTCTCTGCTCGACTTTGGGCGCGCGTCGCGACACACTACACGGAACTACGTTATGGGCAACATCGCCGGGGGCTCGAAGATCTTCCGACAGAATCGCCAACGGTCACCGGGAATGTCGCACTGATCCCGCTCGTTTGTCCGCTCCTTGTACTCGCGCGTCGTCGTCGTCCTGTCTTTCTCTCGCTTCCTTGGAAGAGCACACTGCTCGCGTTGTCGCGACGCGTGCACCCAAACCTATCCACCCCTTCGTCCCACACCGATAACAATCGATCATCTGTTTTACCGGTCGCCATCCATCTCTCTCTATCTGTCACTCTCTCTCTTCCTGTTTGGTCCAGAGAGCGAATGGTGCGTGTACGTGTGTGCGAAATACGCGTCTGCTGCCACGAGGAGGGTGCATTGTTACCGACAGAGACGGACAAAGACGGGAACACGTAGTTCTTATGTTTTCGCGAGCAACGTGGGAACCCGACCGCATTGTTGTAAGCACCGTGCATCGCCGGTAAGAGCCCCGTGCCCGCGACTATGATTGCCTAAGGATATCTCGGGCCACGTGTTTTCGTATACGAGTAATTATCGCGGCTCCCACCGAACGGACCCCGGCGCGCGCGCGTTCACGTCAGAAGAATCCCAACGATGGTTTACGGCGTAACCACGTGAAAACCGCGCTCGGAAAGACAGCGAGGAGGGTTCGAGAGATTCTTTCGGACCGAGACTCGGGCGACCGTACCGGCCAGAAAACCTGACCGCGAGTTTTCCTGGAACACTACCCCACGAGAGAATGGATGTAGTGTCGAATGGACTGCTCATGCCAGCGAAAGTACTGGATATTGGTGCCTACCACTCGTCGTTCTATTCGCCGCCACCGACCGAGGCGTAAGTAACCTATATCTACAAATTTATCGGAGCGACGACAAACGGGCCTCTGTCAAACTGTGACGGTCTATTGTCGAGCGCGAATTTTTCGGCAGAGATTAGATTAAACGGTGCCGGAGATACTCGATCGTTGAATCGACCGATTTTAAATGTCCTCTTTTCAAACACTTCGTAAGATCGTTAAGATTAAACCTAACGCGGTCAAAGTGACCGTTTTCTTATTTTGCAAAGTTCCGAGAGACTCTCTCGTGGAGAACGCTTGAATAGGTTATATTATTCGAGCAAGTTTTATAATAAAAACTTTACAAATTCTAAATAAATTCGGTCTTCTCGCTTTTGCGAAGCGGTACATGCCAGTTAGTATTACTGCTTGGTAGGTTTAGTGTTAAATATTGCATTCGTGTTCTGCAGAAATTATTATTAATATTAATAATAATTTCGTTATTCGCAGAAAGTTATTTCATTTATTACGATTTCTTGTGAAGAAGTATCGTCGAGCAGGACCCGCGACGAACATAACGAACTGACAATTGATTGAACGTAACTTTAGTAGACAGTAGCGTCGAAAACTAATCGACATATTAACCCTTAACGGTCCAATGGCGCGGAAGAAATAAATAAAATCGTAAAAACCGGCCGGGAAACATTGGAAGAATAGGCACGATTGTTTCGATGAAAATATATCAAGGAAGTTTTATTTAAAAAATCTCTTCTCTATATTATATTATATTATATATTTATTATATTATTTTATTATNAATAAATTCGGTCTTCTCGCTTTTGCGAAGCGGTACATGCCAGTTAGTATTACTGCTTGGTAGGTTTAGTGTTAAATATTGCATTCGTGTTCTGCAGAAATTATTATTAATATTAATAATAATTTCGTTATTCGCAGAAAGTTATTTCATTTATTACGATTTCTTGTGAAGAAGTATCGTCGAGCAGGACCCGCGACGAACATAACGAACTGACAATTGATTGAACGTAACTTTAGTAGACAGTAGCGTCGAAAACTAATCGACATATTAACCCTTAACGGTCCAATGGCGCGGAAGAAATAAATAAAATCGTAAAAACCGGCCGGGAAACATTGGAAGAATAGGCACGATTGTTTCGATGAAAATATATCAAGGAAGTTTTATTTAAAAAATCTCTTCTCTATATTATATTATATTATATATTTATTATATTATTTTATTATATTTTTATATAATAAATATATTTTATTATATTTATTATATTATATCTCTTGTCTATATTTGACAGACAAATTTTCAGTAAAAAATTTCTCTTCGTCCAAAAGAAAACAGTCTGAACTTCGGAGTGTGTAAACTGGAAATAAATAGTTTTGGTCCCGTAAGGGTTAAATGACCGTGGCAAAACTGCCGCAACGTTGAAGTCACGTGGTCCGCCTCGAATATTTTCGGCACGGTGCAATCGAACAACCGGCGTACGTATAAACAGGCTAGTCGGACGCGACGACATAAAAACTTGTACAACAACCGGCTGGTCAATCTATCCGAGATAAGGCCGCATCCTTTGATATCGACGCTGAAACGGAGACTTCCGTTGTTCGCTGGCCGGCGTTCCAGGACGTCCGTTGCGCGTCAGCTCTCTCTGGCACAGCAGCCGCGCGTTTGTTTTGCGAAACCGAAACCGAACCGCGCGCGAATTGTGTGCCGGCTCGTTAACGGGCGTGACAGCTCGCGCGAGATAAACTCGAGGAGCGTGGTGAATTTGAATAAACGCGATAACCTCGCAACCCGGCCTGGGAACCTGTTCGAGCCGTCCGGGAAACGAGATTGGAGAACGATCTCGCCGTTGGCGTCTTCTCCGCGGGAACCTTTTGTTTCCTGTATGTCGAACGAACGACCGGAGTCCGATTCGCCGTGTCGCGTGGAATTTTTAACGGGTCGATTTAATCGGGGAACACGATCTTAACGAACTCGTTACACGAGTCGCGCGCACCCGTGATATAATTCGTGGCCGCTCCGCCCCGGTGTACCGAAATTAGAAGTTTTGAGGTTAGAGCGTGACCCAGATTCTCAGGTAGCCGGACGAACTAACTCGTGATCGCGATCGTTCGCGATTCGTTTCTCGAGAACGTTGTTCGAAATGTGTTTCAAAATCATCTCGGACGAGAAGAATGGATTAACGTCGGTTATCGAAAACTAAATTGCAACTTTAACGACTTCGCTTTAATTCTTCGCTCTCTGAACAAACTTAACCTTTAGGGGACCATCACTATTTATTTCCAGTTTACACACTGCCAAAGTCCAGACTGTTTTCTTTCAGACGAAGAGAAATTTTTTACTGAAAATTTTTCTATCAAATATAGAGAAAAGATATAATATAATATAGAGAAGAGATTTTTTAAAATAAAACTTCCTTGATATATTTTCATCGAAACAATCGTGCCTATTATTCCAGTGTTTTCCGCCAGATTTTACGGTTTTATTGATTTCTGCCGCGTGTACGGCGGCATTGGACCGTTAAAGGTTAAGTCTTGCACGGTGTTCGAACGAACCTCTGCTTTAGGACGCTGTACGAGGGTTTGTACCAGGGTTTTCCACAATTCTCGGACCGCGTTACAGAAACACGGTATTATCTGTACCTCGTAAATATAATTTCTGTCGTGACAAACTAGTTTCCCGACCTTTGCGCAATGGAGGACCATCTGCACAATTAGGTTCGAAGGCCCCTGAAGCCTCGAAAATGCGTACAATTGAGCCACTGTAAATCTCCTTCGACGTAAATCCTTGAAGCCTAAGAAAAAAGAAGTACGTCCCCGAAAGTACATCTCGTAGATAATTCCAACGTTGGGTTAGGTCGAGTCGTTAATATTTTCGTCATATGTAACTACTATGGTAATAATATGGTTATGGTTATTCTATCGATATTAGAAAAATTTGGAAATTTTGTGACAAATAAATATGGGTTCGCTTAACATGTTTGTATCAGTATTTACAAAAATTACATGTTAAAACGAATGTTATACGCATACATGCGAAATGCTATTTCCATATGTAACTACTATTTCAAAGAAATGTTTATTTGTCAAATTCTGCACGAGCACGAGAAGGTAAAAATATTTATAGTTCAAAAATCGATCTTTTCCAAGCCCTTGATAAATTACAATTTCGTTGGAATGCTTCAAGTTTAAAACATAAATTAAAAACAAAATACTCGTACTACATTCTCTCTATTTCTCCCTTATTCTGCAACATTTCAGCTTCAACGCTAAATTAACGGAGCGCTAGAAGCAGCCGTTTTATATTACTTTATAAAAGTAACAATAATATTATTACAATTTTTATAATATTTGCCACAAGCAACACATATACGGTAATGTCTCTCTAATCGATGCTACTTTTATAGTTCTCTTCGTTAACGAATCATGCAGATTCGAAACTATGTGCAATAAATACTGCATAATTTTCCTTCAGCTTGTAAACAAAAATGAACAATTTGGGGAGAGAAGATGTGATTATTCGAGCCTCGCGGCTCATTTTTATAGTCGCCTATTGTGAACAATTATAAAAACGAGCCGCAAGGCTCGAACAATCGTATCCCCACTTCCCAAATTGTCCATTTTAGTGGACAATCCGAGCGTCAGTAAGGGAGACATTACTGTATCGAATAAACAATAAGCGTACCTTTACAATCTGAAATAATCGCGAATTAAAATAGTCTCCAGACCTTCGCGCAATGAAGCACCATCTGTACAATTAGGTTCGAAGGTCCCTGGAGCCTCGAAAATACACACAATTGAGCAATTGTAAATCTACTTCGACGTAAATCCTTGAAGCGTAAGAATAAATAAGTACGTCCCCGAGAGTACATCTCGTAGATAATTCCAACGTTGGGTTAGGTCGAGTCGTTAATCTTTTTTCGTCAAGTGTACACAGCGACGACCCCCGTGGTTCTTCTCCCATTGGGATCGTGTAAAAGGCCGCTGTAAAAGCTCCGAACAGCTGTTTCAAAATAACTCGGCAAAATTTTCTTTTCGAAATTACGGCCTGTCGCGCCGGCTACCTGGAACTACCAGTCGCAGTCATAATAGCTGTCCGCAACGCTACCGTTACCCCAGGCTTGTATCATAGGACCGCGGCGGACAGCTATTATGACATCTTTCGAAAAACAGTTCGTAACACGCTTCGATGGAATAATATCGCGGTCCAATATGTGCGTTAGCTACATGGAAATTCGTCGGGCAGTTGTACTAGGATTCCTTCAAAGAACACGGTCTACGCGAGCCAAGTTCCATTCGACGATCCGAAAGGACCCGATATCGCTGTATATAAATGTTCTTAAATGTTCTTCAATCTTCTTCGGGTTTCGTAGAGTCCCGTTTCCGGCCATTGCGTTCTCAAAGACAGGACGGACGGACGGTATTTTTAAAAAGTCACCCAGTAGGTTGCGGGGCCCCGAACGGTCCGAGGCCTGGAGCCAGAGCGCGGGGTGGGGTGGGGGGAAGCGAGACAAACACGCCGGGCAGGCAGAAAAGAAAAGCAGCGGGCACCTCCGAAGGAAGAGAGGCATCCTTCGGCTATCCCTTGTTGTTGCCTAGCAGATATCCCGCTCGAGGCTCGTTTATCGGCCCGGCCGGAGCCGGGAGCCGGGAGGGAAACGACTCTCTCGGCCCGTATATCCCGGCCTCTCTCGCAGGTCTACAGCCCGGCTCGACCCGTCCCCGACTAAGGAGATTTAAACCCGGTTTTCAGATCGAACCCGTTGAGAATTCCCCTGTCGTTTATTTCGTTTGCCGGCAGACCGGGTCCGCGCGCGTCTCTCTGTCCTTTAACTGGCCGCCTCGGCGAGCCGCGCCGGCGCATTCACTATTTTCTGAATTGCCTTAATTTGGACCGTATTGTCCGCACACGTAGCGCGCGTACGTTACATATTCAGTGGTCATTAGTCAAATGTCGTCGTCGTCGTCGTCGTTGTTGTCGCCGCGCGCCGACCGTTCCGGAATCCGCGCTAAATATTGGCCCGGCGCA